ACACACAGTGTTTATATATATATATATAAACACTGCTTCCAAGACTAGAGCAGTGTTCTTAGGTGGAAAAGAGGAGATATTGATTGGAGGGAAAGGTAATGTGGTTGATGTTAGCAGATGCCTGGAAAACATCCTGCCCCTTCTCTTCACTGACTCTGTGTGTTTGGGGGAGGGTGGGGTGGGGCAGAGGGCCAGTGGTGGAAGGGATGAAATGAACCCCAGAAGTGTTAGTAGAATGCAAAAGCAGAGACTTGTGCTTCCTTTCAGAATAGAGTCCCTGGGAGGAGCAAGACCCCTCAAAAGAAGTGGCTGTGCTGTGTATTCAGGCAGACAGAGCCAGATGAACCTCACAAAAATTCTCTATACCACACAGCCTGGTGTAGGAAGAGTGATCTTTTTGCACCTGAGAGGGAGACCAAATTATCAACTGGAAAAAAAAAGCCAGACCTAAAGGATTCCTGAGGATGAGAAAAAAGAGATGACTCTTGGTGATCTGCATGGATTAAAGATCAAGGATCAGATGGTAGTATGATGAATGTTTCAACAGATGTCAACATGAACAGATGACACTGAGGACCGAATGCCCCCTAATCTGAGACCATAACAATATGGTAACTCCCCTGAACTTGGATGCATGCCCGGGGAAAATAGGGAGTAATCCTCAACTGACTAAAATTCAATTTCTGCATATTTCTACTCTTTGGATCTTTAAATAGAACCTAAATAGGGTTCCAGAAAATTTTTGGAGAAGGTCTTTATCTTACACATTGAAGTTTATAGACCAAGCTTCATACCCATTACATGTAGAAGAATTTGTGGAAGTACAGTTTTAAATTTATACTGGATGAGCTATTCATTTTTAATTTAAAATTATTTTCCTAAATTATATAGATCTCCGAACCATCTATCTAAGAATTCTTTTAAAGAACATAACTATAATTCCATAAATCTACATAAATATTTGTAATTATTCCTTAATATCGTAAAAAATGCAGCCCATGTCAAATATTTCTAATTATCTTATAAATTTATTTTTATAGTTTTTTCTTTGAATCAAGATCCCAATGATTTCCACATATTGCATTTTTATGAGTTTCTTAAGTCTATTTTAAACTATAGCTTCTCCCTCTTTCCTTTTCCTTACAATTTATTTGTTGAAGAAATAAAATCCTTACTGATATTCTGTACAATTTTCCACATTCTGGATTTTTTTGATTGCCAACTCTATGGCAATATTTAACATGTCATTCTAACACTGTATTGCCCATGAACTAACTAATAGTTGTATCCAGATATAACTTGATCTCACTTAGGCTGATGTTTTGGCAAAAGTCTTCATAGAATGTATTTCATCATTCCAACAGGATGTGCAGTGTTGGTTTTTCCCTCTTTTTATGATTTTAGTAGCCATTGATTATCATTACCTAGATCCAGTATTTTATTAGATGTTTGAAATATAGTGATTATCCAATTCTTTCCTCCTTCATTTGTCAGGTGGGTTACTTTTATGGAAATAAACCTCAGGATATTTGGTTATTCTGAAGTTGTATAGGAAAAGCAAGTAGAATACTTGATTGATTTTCTATCGATTTTCAGAAAAATGAGAATTAGTTCTTTAGCATAATTCAAAGGCTATCAATGACTTTTTCCTCTTATTTATCATTATGATATCATTGTTTTTTCACATTTTGGTGTGTTTTATTCCATAAATTTATTATTCCTATAGATGCTCAAATTGCCTCATCTTGGTCCATTGGGAATGTCTTCACATTAGTTCCTGAATCCTTTTGGCAGCATCCCAGTAGTTTCTGACAGCTTCTTTACTTTCTGGTATGACGAGGTGTTTCAAGCACATTTTACACAGCCATTTTTCTCCAAGCAGCACTGCCTCCTCTAGTAGGAAAAGATACTTAGAGAACATAATTTGGATGCTGGTGGTGTTTCTTGGTACTAAATTTGTTATTACTTCTAAGTCTTTTCAATGCAGAATGCTATATGTTATAAATATATAGTGATATTTCTAGTCTCAATTACAAATTACAGGGTTTTATTCAAATTCTTTGATTTTATATCTTTTTCTCCTATACCAAAAATCTTAGGTCCTGACAGTAATCATGTTAAAGTGATATTGCTCTATTATATCATATTAACTACACATATAATACACTATATGCATAATAGTTTCAGAATAACTATTAATATTATTACTCACAATATTATTACACCAATTTCAGATTTTTTAATATTTTTGTAGTTGTTGTTCTTAGGGAACATCCTATTCAGAATGTACAGAAAAATCTTCAGTTTTAAATTACTTAAAAATGTTCCTCTCTATGGAGTTATGCCAACAAATTTATATCAAGTAAATTAAAAAATTTTTTCTGTTTTGGGGAAAATTTTTTCTTTTTTCATTTGTCATTTTATTTTGATCTATAATCGTGGAAACCAGCTTTATCCAGAGAAGTCAGACTTCTGTCCCTGTCCCTTTTACTTTGTTCACTCTCTTTCTATGCTTCATTTTTCAATTTCATCTTTATATAATTGATAAGAAGATGAATTGATTTACTGCATAGAAATTAAATAGCCTATATTTTAAATATTCAATATTTAAATATTTGCTATCATTATGGGAAAGGTATACGACTGTTGATTGTCTCTGAAGTTTCCAAATTTGAATACTCTCTTCCATATTCTCTTGAGTGATAACTTTTGGTCTGATTGAACACTTGTTTATATATCTAAGTAATCCAAAACTGCTTCTTCAGAAACATTAAGGTTCTACTTCAGTGCAGATGTGTTATGGCAAAAGTGACTAAAGTCTAGACTTCGATGTTAGCAAATCCTGGATTGAAATCCATGATTTGCTATTTTCTGGCTATTTTGTGGGACGAACGCCTTAGCTTCTTTGAGCCTTAATTTCCTGTCTATGTAATAGTGATGATAATACCCAAGGTTATTATTGCAAGAATTAAATGAGCTGATGATGGAAAGAAATCTACGCAGACCTGGAACATACTGGTGTTTAAGAAAAGTTTGTTTCCATTTTCTCCTTTTTAACTTGAATCTATAACCATGACAGCTGGGATGGGATAATTGAGAAAGACAGGTCTGTCTTTGATCCATATTTACCAAATTTCTCTTCTGTTTGCTTTTTCCAGAGAACTCATTCCTGTACCACTTCCATCCGTTTGCATGCTGATGTCCACCTTCAGATTGGCCGTCCACCCTTCTTCGCTCTGCTCTTTGCCTCCCTACATGGAATATATTGCAGGCTCCCATTGTCCTCTACCTTTAAGTTGAGTTTGGTCAATGGGAGCCCCAGCAGGAGGTTTGAAAGTTTATCCAGGAATTTATTCTTCTAGCTTCCTTCCTTAAGAGTGCTACTCCTTGACTTGTTCCTCTCTAGAAGCCCTGCACTGTCTCTTGTTGATTTCCCTAAACTCTACATGCTCCTTTGTACATAATCTTTTTATTAAACTCACTTTAATTACCCAGTTCGAGTGGTGCCATCTGTTTCCTGCCAGGACTCTAGGATTGATACAATTTCCAATCAAGAAAATAGTGGTGAGATTATTAGTCTAATGGGCACATTCTGCCTCAATTTTTTCAGTTATTCAAAATTCTTAAACTCACATAAATTTAAATTATTGGAAAGGAAAATACCTAGACCTCAGTAAATTATCTCTAAACAGCAAGTCACTCAATGAGTTTTGCTCTAACCTCTATGCCTTCAGCTTTTAACCAAGGGTCAGTACAGGAAATGGTCACATGCTATCTCTATTCCTGCATCTTCAATAAAGGTACTATTGAAAACAAGCTTCCATTGTTGTAGCCAATGTACCTGACATGGTGACATGGAAAGAGCACACAATTTGGGGTTAAAAAATACAGGCTAGAACTCTTGCTCTGTAACTTAGTAGTCACAAAACCACATTTCTCTGAGCTTCAATTTATTCTTCTGTAAAATGAGACAAAAATACTTATAGATGCGTGAGTATTAATGAAAAAAGGAGAGAGGTTTTTAAACCAAAGAGCTCCATAAATATTCATGCGTAGTATATTAAATTTCTTTAAAAATTTAGCACAAAGATTTTCTTTGCTAAAGAACTGCTGTGCTTCCTTTATCATATTGAAAAGCAGTCTATGATCCATTGTGAGTTTATATATTTTTTGCTTTAACTTGTAAGAAATGTACAATTAACAGTAATGTTTTACTATAATGAGTATATTTTACCAGTATTTGTATACATATTTTACTTCTCTCTACATGATTTTTATTTATTCCTGTTTTGATGATATTATTGCATGTGTGTGTTATTTAAAGTACATCAAATTAGTTTTTGGAAGAAGATAGGATCTAAACAAACCAACAAGTTAATTAAAAAAAGAATTTGTCCATAATGGTATTGCATTCTGGGTGAAGACTCTCATTCATCTTTCTGCAGCATTCTTCTTCAATTCTGCACCCTAGCAGTGTTCAAAGTGATGGTCCAACCTCCTATATTCACAAATATATTATTTGAAAATCAGCAAGATTCACATCTGCTTGTTTATAAAAAGATGTGTGTGTTTAGATATGTGAATATATGGATATGAGGAAAGAGATGACAGATGATAGATAGATAGATGATAGATATAGATATAGATAGATAGATAGATAGATATTCACATCTGCTTGTTTATAAAAAGATGTGTGTGTTTAGATATGTGAATATATGGATATGAGGAAAGAGATGACAGATGATAGATAGATAGATAGATGATAGATAGATAGATAGATAGATAGATAGATAGATAGATAGATGGATGATAGATAGATAGATAGAAATAGATGATAGATAGATCTTACAGTTTATTGGCACAAGAGTAAGAGAAACGGGAAGAGGAAAAGGAAAAAGAAGAGGAAGAGGAAGAGGAAGAGGAGGAGACCACATACAAAGAGGAGGAAATTATCTTCCTAGGAGTTAAAGTGACCATTTCAAATTTTTCTCAACATTCCTTTCCAAGTAAAGATCGAAATCATTACCATCAGTACATTAACTTCTGCTCAGCAATGTTACTGGTTCTTGTCCATCATGCAACTCTGTTCATGAATATTCTGTTCTTATTCTAGAGAGGGAGGAGCTCAGTTCAGATTCCTCTCAGCTAATCACAACTTCCAGGAGACCACAGCATTTCTCCAAGCCAAATCCAGATGATACACCATCTCCTAATTTGCAAAGCAAAAAGACAGAAGCTAGAAAACTGTTAGAATAAAGTGAAGTTCTTAAACTATAAAATCTTATTGAAGGGAATAGAAAGATTTTAAGTGAAGAACAAAGGTAAATAAAACCATCTGAGACAGTTGTAAGTCAAGTGAAGATGGTAGCTTTTTAAACACACTCCTCAGGCCAAACAAAGATCTTATTTGTATGTGGCCACATCTGATTTACCAGGGATTGGGGCTCACTGTCCTATCTGAAACATCCTTTTGAAAGACACCTGCAGTACTATTATACTACGTAAAGCACAAGGTCATTAGGGGCTCTGTCAATCAACTGACTGATTCCTCTGATACGGCTGGTGAATAAAGAAGGCACTTCTCTGTTTCAGACTGAAAGTCACACACCACCTGTTCCAAGCCCTAGGGTTCTGAGAAAAGAAGTTAACCTAATCTACTTCCACACTAAATGAAACATTTGATTCTCACAGCCAAACTTAGGAATTCTTTGATCCAAGTAGAAGCCAATTCTTCAGAAATGTCTGAAAACACTTCTGGATTCCTTTGTCTCTTCATCATAGGATAATTATTGGTAGAGAAGCATGGTAGCCAGTATCATATTTAAAAACAAATACATAAAATTCTTATGTTTCTGAAACGACAGCTAAATAACCAAACCCTAAAACTTTTTGATTACTTGCTCCTTCCATTTGGTTTGTTTTCCCTCCCAACATGCATTATAAGAATTTTCAGAGAGTAGAATTGAATTTTCAATTCTACTCTCTGAAAATTCTGTATTGATAACCTAGATTCTATCATTAGCCTTTACTAGACTTGCATTTATCACATACCTATCTATTCATCTCTATATACATACATCGTTCTATCTATTTTCAGGCATTTCAGTGTAAATTGCAGACTTCTGAATATTTCCATCTAAATACTTCATTATGCATATCATTAATTAGAGTTTGATATTAGTTTTTTTCCTTGGATGTAAATTTTACATACAATGAAATAACACAAATCTGAACTACATTTTTGCTCAATTTTGATAATGTATACATTTTGGGTTGTAACCCAAGCCCCTATTAAGATATAAAATATTACCATAATTTCAGATAGTTCTCTCTTTCCCCTTTCCAGTCAATCACTACCCCTTACTACTCTGGAGGTAAACTTTGTTCTAATTTTTTTCCAAAATAGATTATATTTGCCTATTGTAGAATATCATATAAATAGAACCATGCAGCATGTCTCTTTTATACAAGACTTCTTTCACTCAGCATAATGTTTTGGAGATTAATCCAAGTTGATGCATGCACACTTCAGTAAGCCTTTCCACTTTACTGTTGAGTAGTATGCCATTTTATTAATATACTAATTTGTTTATCTATTCTCATATTGATTGACATCTGGGGTCTCCAGATTGTGCTATTATGAATAAAAGCACTATAAACATTCTGATACAAGTTTCTTTTCATTTAATTTGAGCAAATAACCATGGTTGAAATTGCTGGATCTTAGGGGTGGGTATACATTTAGTTTCCTAAGAAACTGTGAAGCCATTTTTTTTTAAAGTTGCACCATTTTAAACTCTCACAATGTATGATAATTTCACTTATTCCACATCTTCACCAATCGATATTACCAGTCATCATTACTGAAGCCATTCTCATGTGTGTGTAGTGATATCTCAATGTAGTTTTATTTTCTATTTTAGAATTGACTAATGCTATTGAGCAATTGTTCAGGTGCTTATTGGTTATTCCCATATCTTCCTTTGTGAAGTGTATTATAAAATATTTTGCCCATTTTTAATTGGGTGCTTTATGTTTTTATTATTGAAATGTATGAGTTCTTTATATGTTCAAGATACTTTCTTTTGTCAGACACTTGTTTTGCAAATATTTTCTCCTGGTCTATGGCTTGCCAATTCACTTTCCTCATGTCTTTTGTTAATTGTGAAATATACATGAAAAGAGTGGTTATTCTTAGATTATTCCTGATCCTAGGGAATACATTTCATATTAAGTATGATACTAGCTGTAAGCTTTTTTGTACATGACTTTTACTCCTGGTTTGCAAGAATATTTTCTTTAATCATAAATTGAAAATAAATTTTAATTTTTTTGAAAATTATTAAAAAGATCATTTTTTTTTTGGTTTTTATTCTGTTATATGGTAAATTACACTGCTTAAGTTTCAAATATTAAAACCAACCTTGCATTCTTAGTCATGGTGTATTACTCTTTGACTATATTGCAGAATTATATTTGCTAATATTTTATTAAGTATTTTTGGTTTAATATCCATGAGGGATAATGGATGGTAATTTATTTTTTTCTGTTATGTCTCTGTCAGATTTAAGAATTGGGGTTATGCTGGCCATATAAAACTAATGGGGAGTATTCTCTTCTCTATTTTTAGAAAGAATTTGTGTATATTATAGAATTGCTTTTTGAAATGTTTGAAAGAATTCACTAGTGTAATCATCTGGGATTGAGTTTATTTTACGGGAAGAATATTGATAATAATTTCAATTTTTTAATAGAAATGGGGATATTCAAATTTTCTGTTTCACTTACTGTCACTTTTAGTAAGTTTAATTTTTCAAGAAAATTATCCATTTCATCCAAGTTGTCAAAAATGTTGGTATAAAATTGTTTCGAATATTCCATTATGATCTTTCTAACATCTCTCGGATCTCTATTGATGTCCCTCTTTTACTTCGGATGTTAGTAATTTGTGTCCTTTTTCCTTTTGTCTTGATCTGTCTAGCAAGAGGTTTATCAATTTTGATGTTTCAAAGACAAAAATTGGATTTATTAATTTATGTTATTATTTGTTTGTTTTCTATTTTACTAATTCCCATTATTTTTAATTTCCTTCTTTCTCCTTTCTCTGAATATTAATTACTTCCTTAGGGATCATTGATTTAAACCTTCTTTTCTAATGCTAGCATTTTAAGCTATAAATTTCCATCTAAGTACTGCTTTAGCTGTATTTTACAAATTATATTATGCTATATTTTCATTATCATTCAGTTCAAAATATTTTCTAATTGTCCCTGTGATTTCTTTCTTAACTCATGGATTACTTACTAGTATGTTGTGAATTTTGAAATATCTAGGGTTTACCTGGTGTGGTGGCTTTGTAATGTGTCAACTTGGCTAGGCTCAACTACATTTTCTAGGATTTTCTTTCATGTATGTTTCTATTTATGGTGGGCGACATTAGGAGATTCATTCTAATTCTTGAGTAATTAAGAAGGTAGAAGGGAAGTAACAGCTAT